ATGGAGCACAGGAGCAGGGATGGGTTTTCCCTGGGTGACAGTGACAGAGGGTACCTACATCAGCCGGGATGCACAAAGCATCCCTGCATCGCCTCCCCTACCCGCTCCCTTCAGCCTTCCCTTCCTTAGCTGGAAGAGCCACAGGGGCGCAGCCGATCCACCACCAGCTCCCTAGAACACGGGAACAAAACAAGGATAAAAGGGAGAAGCCCCAAGACCTGCAGTTTTCACCGGGAGCTTCTGCAAGGAAACAAAGCAGCAGACGTGAGGAATGCAAGTGGCCTATTTGCCCGGGCTGCAGTGTGCCTGCGGCAGCGCGGACATGCCTCAGCTTGTCGTTTCAAGAGCTATTGTTGCTCGGGGCTGGGGGCCTCTTTGTTTCCTTTACCCTTTCGCCAGGCTTGGTCACAGCCTGGTATTAAATTATTCAAATCATCTCACTGGGCTCCACAGCTGAACTGCTGCATGGAGCACACAGGCTGCGAAATCCCCAGGGCTCCAGCGCCTGGCCCTGCACAAACACACTGCTCCACACAGGTTCCTCCGACTGTAATCAAGCTGGTGACACCTCCAGCCTCAGCACTGAGGTGCAAAAGCCATAAACCCCACCTAACACCAGAACATCAGTGGGAAAAGGGGGGCTAAGATGGGATCACCCCTCCATTTGGCAGCACAGGGAGATCCCAGTGGCTCTCTGTGCTGCACGCCCCATGGAGCAGTGGCATTTTGGTGCCACCACCTTCAACACAAAGGGTGGCAGAGAGCTCTGTCCTGCCATCCCACCAGCCCTCAGCCCTGGTGAGGCTGTAGCAGAACACCAGCCACTTCTTACGTGATGTATTTGCACGTGGTGCAGGATAAGGGAAGCCCAAGGAGCTGAGCACAACACAGCCAAGAGGTATCTGTTGCAGTAGGAGCCGGTGCTGCCACCAGCTCAGCACAGGGACCAGCCCAGAGGGGCTTTGAGGTGATTGAACCCAGCCCTGCAATCACCCTGGTGCCCAGGAGTGGAGAACACCTTCACCTCTGCTGACACCAGGCTGCTGGAGCCATCCCTATAACCTGCAGCACAAAGCAAGTGCCAAGGGACTGGCAGAGCCTTTGAATTCCAGGGAGCTTCCTGGGCTAGCAGGGTGTAACCGCCTGGAAAGGCAGCTCCACAAGAAACCAGCAGGGAAAAACCCCTGCTCCCACCCTGGCAGGAGCCGAAGAGGGAGGCTGTGTCTGCAGGCAGGGCACACGCCTCTCCCGGCCGGACGGGACCTGCTCCCTTCCCAAGCCGGAGCCTGGGAGGTGAAGGGAAGAAAGAGCAGGAGACCTGCTGAGATTCATTACCTTCCACATGACAGAGGGATCAGTTGGCTTCTACCAGAGCCCGGCGAGGTTCCCCTCATTGAACACAGGAAAGAATCACAGAAATAATTAGAGAGATTTCATCTCAGCCAGCTTATGAAAGCCTGACTTTATACACAACACACTGGCAACGGCACAAAGATGGATGTGAAAGGCAAGAGCATTTGCAATGTCAGACAGATCAGAGACAGAAGCTCATCAAAAAATGGCCCAGGGCAGATGTAAGTTAAAAAAAGAAAAGAAGGGGGGGGGGAAGGAAAGGAAAAGACCCTTCTGGAGATCAAAACTGCAGCTCCTGTCTGTGACACGGTGATATGCCCCCTCCTGCCTGCAGAAAGGATCCCTGGTGAAAGCTCATCATCCCCCTGGAGAGATCTGGGTTAAAAAACTTCAAGCACTGACAATCACTCACTGTGTTTTGCTGCCTTCTGCTAGCTCAGCTGGGAGCCTGTGAGCTGGTCAGCAGCAGGATTTAGGGGCCTGAGGACAAATGTCAGCTGGAGGATCCTCTGGTGAGCTCTTGCTGCTGGGGGAGGCTCTAATTGGAAAGCTCCAGGCTGTATTTTGGGAGAGCAAACCAGGTTGTGCTCACAAAGGGGCTGCTCATGCCAGGTTCATCCTGCTGTGCAGAGCAGGACCCTCAAAAGCATGATAAACAGCTCAACAAATGGGTGAAATGCTTTTGGGGGGATGGGAAAGGACAGGCTTCTCTAATTAGAAAAGAGGTTTGCACTTAGTCACCCCGAGGAGTGCCTGAGGCCCTAACTCCAGACACTGCTGTGCACAGGCTGACAGCTCTCTCAGACACCGAGCTGTCAGCCTGGGCTGTGTAACCAGAGACAGTTTCCACTGGGAAAACAACCTTTGTGCTCCTCACCCTTCCACACAGGCCCTTCCAGCGGGGAGGCTTCCCCATTGACAGCAGCAGCGGAGCTCTGGGGATGTCCACCCCATGTCACGTCCAGGGCAGCAGTTCTCAGGCACTGGAGGTTCACAGTGACCCTTGTTGATTCCATAAGTGAGACCAGCTCCGGTTCCATGGGAACCATCGTGAGGAGCTCCCCGTTTCCTGTTTGGGGCTCCTGAGCCTGGGGATGCAAGGGCTGAGCCACAGGAAGCACTGAGAGGATAAGGCATTCCAGGCAGCTGGGGGAAGCCCCAGCATTGTACACGATGAGGATGGATGCGTCCATTCCCTCCTGACTCAAACTCACTGGGAAGGCGACTCTTCCACAGCAGCTGAAACACAAAGGGCAAGAACCAAGAATAAGCCATAAGCCACCACCTTCATGAAGCTAGAGGGAGCAGTGCCCTGCCCCACGCAGGCCAGGTACCCAACAAATGGGCACTGCAATCCTTGCCTTGCTATCCTAGGAAGCAAGGCCTCAGTCGTGGCACAAGCAGGAGGCAATGCCAAGCACACAGAGCCCAAATAGGAGGAAACACAGTCTCCTGAGGCTTGCACCCTCCTCCTCCTCCTCTCCAGCACACCCGGCTTCTCCCAGTTATTCCTGTGTTTATGGTGGGATCGAGTAAAGGGCGCAGCAGCAGCCTCAACAATAAAGTGGGCAGAAGCCCAAAGCAGTCACAAACAGTGTTTGCCACACGGGAGGAAACCGCAGAGCGGTGCAGAACTGCTGCCCCAAAGGTAGACAGAGCTCTGCTCGCCTGTGCCAGCAGCCTCTGCGGGCCAGATCACAGCCAGAGCTGACAGCAGCAATGACACTGCATATGTCACCAGCAATCGTGTGCTCTCTGGAGAAGCTTCCAGGCAGACTGAGCTGTGTGAAAGCCCAAATCTCAGCTTTTTACAGAGCTCCCGGTGCTTTTTACACCCTGGTTACTGGGGGATAGGGATAGCAACACCAGGCTGCTGCCCTGACCCTGCTGCTGCTGAGTTTGCACTTCCAGTACCAGGACAGGCGGGCTGAGGTTTCAGACTGGGAAGTGCAGAGGAAGAGAAGAAGTGGGGCTACACACTCAGTCCCTACACTTAAGGTGCTGCAGGTGGGAGCCCACAAACCAGCCACTGCAGAGTAGCTCCGAAGGGGAGAGCAGCCTGCTGCAGAGACAAAACCTTTTTACTGCCATGACAAGTGTCCTCCTCGTTCCTGAGCCCAGGGACCCGGCCATTCCCTGTCCCCTTCACGTGGCAGCACACATCACATGAGAGCTCAGCTCTTGGAGGGGAAGAACAGGAGCCACGGCCCATTGCGCTGCGCTGGGGCAGTCAGCCCGGCCTCCTCCCCTCCAGGGTGTAATTAGCCTGCTTGAAGTGGGCTGGGACTGGGATCCCTCAGCCCAGCACTGAGGCCATAATCAGCCCAGGAAAGGAGGAAGAAAGGCCCCTGCAGGAGTGTGGGCCAGGCTCCCATCATACACCCAGGGAACGGAAGGGCAGGTCATGCCATGGGCACGTTTTAACCATGCAGCGATGCTGCCTTTGGGCCGAGCAGAGAGGAACCACAAAACCAGCACTATCTTTTCCAAACCACAATGGAAATGCAGCAGCCAAAACGACGCCTCAAATCTCAGCTTCTATTTCAGCAGCATCAATTAGAGAGCTGCTCTTTTTGGAGCTTCTGTGGGAGTGCAGGAGAACCTCTTCTGCTGTCTCTTTGCTCTCCCAGCCCAGTGGAAGCATCACAGTGCTTAAGGGGAATTTTTAGGGGCTTCAAGTTATTTCTGTTCACTTACAGCTGGAGAGGGACTAGAATAACACAGAGCTCACATGCCAGGGTTACTTGGGACAGCTCCAGTCACAAGGCATTGTGTCTGGCTGGGCTGTCATGGCAGGAATCACAGTAACAAAGCCTCTACTCACGCTTTACTGCCAGCAGTGTGTTCCCGTGACAGCAGGCTACAGAGGTCACCAGGTAGGGATGTGTCTCCTCCAGCTGCACCGGCCTTGGCGTTCCCGTTTCCTCATCCTTCCTGCCCAGGCGTCCCCTGGCTCCTTTCCCCCATGTGCACACCTCACCATCTGCAAAGGGATATATCACTCCACTGCACACAGAGCCTCCCTCCTCCCTGGTACCATCCCAGGCTACCTCCTTGGCCACAGCATGAACTGCAGACAGAGGAAAACCAGAGCCTGCTGCAGCCCAAAACATTGGGGTTTCAGTCTTACCTGCACCAATGGCCACAGTGAAGGCATCCCCACAAGCCACCACAGTGACCTTCATCGCCTGGAGCCCCACAACAAGGTGGGGTACACGGCTGTTGCGGCAGGAGTTGGTACCCAGCTGCCCGTGCTGGTTACTCCCAAAGGTGTAACACTGGCCAGAAGCTGACAACAGAGATGAGAGAAACAACTGGGTGTCACCTGAGGATGGGCTGAAGCTCTTTGCTCTCTATCATGCTGAGCATCCTGCTCCACAGAGCTCCAGCATCGGGAGCAGGGTATCTCCTGAGCCTTCTCTGAGGCCTCTGCCCATGGGAAAGGGAGGCGGGAGGATGGAGAAATCCCCAATCCTAGTCAGGGATTTGGGCACACACCCCTCACCTGTGACTGCAGCTGAGTGTGCTGTACCAATGTCAGCACACACGATTGGCTCTTGGTTCAAGGGGACCGACTGGGCACACGTGAACACGGTGGCCTCTTCCACTTGGTCCTCTGGGGAAGGCTCCTCTGCTGAGCTGATCCGATCTAGGCCCAGTTTGTTACACCTGCATGGGAGAAAGCACAGATCAGAGCTGGCTGAATGCAGATACCCTGGAGACAAACCCTGCCCTGGCATAACCACACCACCAGCAGCGTGATGTGGGGAGTAGGATCACACAGAGATGTCTTCTAGAGCCTCTTGCTCCCTCTTTGTGGGCTGGACACAGATGGACAGGCCCAGGAGGCTGTAGCAAGCTCTGGAGCACAGACTCTCACCCCTCTTACCTGTTGCTCCCACAGGCAAGAATCTGGTTCTTCACTGTGAGGACCATGGAGGAATCGATGCCACAGATGACTCTCAGGGCCTCATGCTCCGGTGGGACCGTGACCTGCTGGGGGGAGTTGTGGCACTCCAGGGTACCCAGCCCGAGCCTACCTGGCAGAGGAAACAGAGCAGGACACAGCTGATGGCAACACACGAACCTGAGCATCAACATAGCTGCTGCAAGAGCCCACAGAAGGCAGCAAAACCCAAACCCCGGGGACACTGGCAGGTGGTGAAGCAGCTGCAGCTCTTCCACACCCACCTACCCTGGCACATCTGGAGAGGACCGTGGGCAAGCAGGGCTGCTGAGAGAAGTGGGAACAGGCAATGGGAAGCACAAGCCCTGTTTTACCAAGCAGCCATCTCTTACCATTATCCCCCCGGCCCCAGGCAAACACTTCCCGTTC